TACAGCTAGGGCCCAGCACAGCTGGACACAGGGCACAGCTCTGTTCTAAGACCCTGCTCTCAGCGTTCCAGAGCAAGTGTTAACAGGGTCCTGCTGAACACCCCTCGATTACACACCTCTACCCACTTCTCCTTAGGCTCATCTCACCTGTAGCATGTAACTGTGATAGTCCTTGATGCGGTGCTGCCAGAACTTCTGGAGGGAGAGCACACTGCCAATGCCCACTTCATGGAACACCTGCTCCATAACGTCGGGGAAAGGAGTCTGCCCCAGCCGGGCCTCCTGATCCACAGCAAAGCGCAGCAACTTGGTGAACTTAAGGCAGTACTCATGTGCCACGTCAGTTAGGGTCTCCAGGACACTTTCATTAGCACACTCAAAGCCTGCGTGAGCCAGGATTGTGGCCACTGCCTGGTAGAGGAGCTGCCGGCAGGAGTGCCAGCTGAGTTCAGTCACGGGTTCCCCTTTCCCACTGAAAAGTGGAGACATGGTAGTAGTATTAATGCTCTTGCAAAGGGGTGACTTGTCCTGTCTCCCTAAAAGGCTTACAATTCCAGTCAAACCACTGGCTCAGCTTCCCAGGGGAATTCTAGGCAGGTTACATAGCCCAGTTTCATTCTGCTGCTGTCAGGGCATGTCTCAACCATAGTATTATCCCTGAGCTTCCTCAATTACACAAAGTTTAAATAGGCAATAATGTCTAGAACAAACAGTATAAAGAGTACCTAGTGGAAAGGAAATTTTGTTCTCCTTGTATCAACTGCTCAATTTTGATCACTTTTAGGATCTGATTAATTTTAAGAGTATAACTCAGATATGGCTCAATGGTGCTCTAATTATTTCATCAGAATGTAGGTTCCTCACATCCTGGGCAGTATATGGACTTTTAGAAATTCACAGTCCCATTAGGAGATTCTTATTTGACTACAACAGACCATTTGTAAAATTGGAAAGCAATTCAATTTTACAAAAGCTATTTAAAACATATAGAGCTTACAAAACATTTTTATCATATCCTATGTGACTCTAGATGCCATGTTCTTCATAATACACTGTTTTGCACCTAATCACTACTGCAAAATCCTAATCTTTCTAAAACAAGAAAACACACCTCAAAAAGCTGATCTCCTAAAATTAACTTTTAATAAGCTTCTTATAATTTTCCAGTTCTCCTGAAATTTCCTATCTATCTTCTGCCTCCCTCTGACAAAGGGAGCAAATAGATAAGAATATAACAGGGTACAGAAAATAACTCTTCCTTGGTTCACACCTGGCACAGGTCATCCCGTCCTTGCTGTACAAGAGCGTGTGAGGAGCTATTCGCCCACTTTACTGTTATCTGCTCAGTAGCAACGACTGCAATTCATATGATGATTGGAAAATAAGAAAACCAATTGTCAAATAACTTTTCATTTACTATTTACATCATCATTTCCTCTGGCCAGTCTCTCTAGGGTAAACGCCAAAGGCTTCAGAAGTGCCTAGTAACACCGCTAAATCAGTATTGCTTTACTTGAGTAATAGTAAGCAATCTGTTTCAAAGGAGAATAATTCTTTCAGCACCCCTATAGCTGGAGCAAATTATTTCTGTGACACAGTTTCTTACTTATGTATAAAACTAAGTATAGACTTCTGACGTTCACAGCTCTTCCTAATAATTAAAATTAGAAAACTGACACAAAACTACAAATTCTAAATAACAGGAATAATTTAAAATGATGGACAGTATTATTTTGTGGAAGCTAAATTGCCCTCAAAGTGTAAATATGGTACTGACTGCTACTTGAAGTTGGGGGCATATCTGTACTAACAGGTGCCAAGCATGTGATGGCACAGTTCTCCCTCCCTTTTCACTATTCCAATGTCTTCAGAACCTTCGATTGGTCTATGCACCAAGACACTTTCTGGCCTTCAACTGGCCCAACAGCAACTTTTAAATATTAAGCCTATTTCTCGTATGTTCTCATTAGTTTGGGACAGTTAAAATAGTAGCAACTATTATTAATAGGTAGGTGCAATAAATGATATGCAATTATTACTTATATACTACTTTTGCCGATCATATTTAATCTGAATCTAATTTTGTGGAGATAATCCAGTAAGTGGGCCATTCTACAAGACAACTGACCTGAACTCTTCAAAAAGATTAATATCATGTGTTTTAAAAAGGAGGCAGCTGCTGGCTCTTGGCTTCTTGGCTGCCTCTGCCTCCCGGCTCCCCACTCCTCTTTGTTTTGCTTCCTGCCCCCACCCTCGGCTCGTAACTCCTGCCTGCCTGCTGTGGAGACGGCTTTGGGCCTGAGGTCTGATCCTGGGCCCAGTGAGGGAGAAGGAGAGGGATGTGAAGGAGACGGGCACCATGAAAGAAGAAAGTGGTACTGATGTCCTTGTTAGCTCCAAGAAAAGGCAGGCAAATGTGGCCATTTTTCTGCAGAATCCAGATGAAGAAACTGCCAAAATTGACAGGACTGTGAGAAGCCAGTGTGCCAGTCAGCCTTGGGACAGTAATAAAGTCTGTGACAAGCCCTGATGCTTGATTCCCACACCTGATAAAAAGGATGAGCTCATATACCCAAATTCTGTGTATAAGCCTCAGAGTTGCACGCTGTCCAGAGCCTCAATACTGCCTGTACTGAACTGGGCAATTATAGATAAGAGGTTGGAAAATCATGTTAAATAAGGAAAAGATATGCTTGAGGGATAAACACTTTATGCAGCGGCACCTTCTTTTGCAGCCTAAATGTGAGCAATTCTCCTAAACTTGTTAATGGAGGTGTATGAAGTCTCTAAACTTCACAGACAGACGTTCTACTTGGCACAGGATTTCTTTGATTGGTATATGGCAACACAACAAAATGTTGTAAAAACACTCTTATGGCTTATTGAGATTTCATCTTTATTTAGTGCTGCCAAACTTGAGGAAATCTATCCTCCAAAGCTGTACCAGTTTGCTGTTACAGATGGGACTTGTTCAGGAGATGAAATTGTTGCCATTAATCATTATGAAGGCACTTAAGTGGCATTAAGGTCCCCTAACCATTGTGTCCCGGCTGAATGTATACATGCAGATTGTGTATCTAAATGATTTTTATGAAGTGCTCCTGTCACAGTATCCTCAGCAAATTTCCAAACAGACTGCAGAGCTTTTAGATCTCCGTGTCCTGGATGTTGGCCACTTAGAATTTTCCTAAGGTTTGCTTGCTGCTTCTGCCTTGTATCATTTCTCTTCATCAGAACTGATGCAAAATCTTTCAGGGTGTCAGTGGTGTGATACAGAGAAGTGTGTCAAGTGGATGGTTCCATTTGCCATGGTTATAAGGGAGCCAGGAAGTTAAAAACTTAAGCACTTCAAGGGGAATTCCTGAAGATGCACATAGCATCCAGACCCTATAAACAGCTTGGATTTGCTGGACAAAGCACAAGCAAAGAAAGCCATATTGTCTGAAGAAAATAGGATTTCTCCTCTCCCCACGGAGTCCTCACCTCCTCCCACCCCCAAACAGAGCAGTAAGAAGCAGAGCGGTGGGCAGGGAACAGCATGACCACACCAGCATCTTCTACCAAAGACAGCTGTGCAGAAGTACCTGTTTCAAGTTCTCTCCTGTCTACTGCAGTAGAGGCGTGCATTAACTTTTACAGATACTTAAATGGAAGAGCATGTGTCTTCTGCAACAGGTTTCTGTGGATGGCATTGGACAGGGAGAAGTGTTTTTTTATTGGATGCTTAGATTTTTTAGTAAGTGAGTCAAGTACACCAGCCACCTCCAGAACACCAACGAGTGCTCCAGATGCTGCTAAGGAGGGTGATACTTGACTGACTTCGTACAAATAGCAAAGGCTTGAAGTTGAGGAGTGCCACGTTGCTGCTGGTCTCCCCTTGTGTGTTCTGGGTTGTGTTACAGTTAGTGGAACAGGTGGTTGTAAGCGTTATGGTGTGGAGCCCACAACCAGCTGTGCTGGGGGCCTGCCCTTTCCATACTATCAGTCAACGGTGTACAATGCCTTTATGAACTATTATTTTGTAAGTGTTGTTATTTTTTTTTAATAAAGATAACACTATCTTTGAGGAAAAAATAAATAAAAAAAGAGGAAACTATTCTGGCTTAAAAGACACTAAAGAGGCAGAAAAAGACAAATACTATATGAAATCACTTATATGTAGAATCTAAAAAGTAAAACAAACTAGTGAATATAACAAAAAAGAAAGAGACTCATGGATACACAGGACAAACTAGTGGTTATCAGTGGGGAGATGGAAGGAGAAAACAGGCAAAATAGGAATTAAGAGGTACAAACTACTATGTATAAAATAAATAAGCCACAAGGATATGTTGTACAGGTCAGGGAATATAGCCAATATTTTATAGTAACTATAAATGGAGTATAACCTTAAAAATTGTGCATCACTAAGTTGTATACCTGGAACCTATATAATGTTGTAAATCAACTATACATTAATTAAAAAAAACCAGACACTAAAGAGGCATAACAACCAAATACAATGTGTGAGTCTTTCTTAGGTCCTGGATTAGGGAAAAATATACCTATAAGAGGACAACTTTTGAGACAAATGGAGAAACTTGAATATCTTCTTATTAAATGACATTATTTAATGAGTGTTCATTTATTTTGGGGTGATAATGATATTGGGATTATGTAGAAAATTGTCCTTACTCCTAGGATGAGGCAAGGAATTCAGAGGTAAAAGAATCTGAAGAATTTAGGGGTGAACTATTGCAATGTCTGCAACTTTAAAATATGTGGCAAAAAAAAGTCTTGGGGTGTGTGTGTGTATGTTTGTATATTTGTGTGTATATGTGTGTACACACATACACGAGAGAGAGAAATGTAGCAAAATGTTAACAACTGGTGAATCCAGGTGAAGGGTATTTGGGTGTTTATACTATTATTTAAACTTTTGTATAGGTCTGACAAATTTCAAAACAATTAAGTAATTATTTGTCACCAAATGCAAACTTCCATACTGAAATCTAGTAGTACCAACAGGTAATAAGGCAGTCATTCAGAGGATCTGGAGGAGGGCTTCTCAAACTTAAACACACATATGAATCTGCCAGAGTTACTGTTAAAATGCAGATTCTGATTCAGCAGGTCTGGGTTGGGTGTGAGACTGCATAAAAAGCACCCAGGTGATGTTGTTGCTGCTGATCTTGGACCAGATTTTGAGTACCAAGGATCAAGAACATTTTCATATTATTGTTTCTTAAACTACGTTACTGAATGAAACACGCATAGTTAAAAAATTCTTGTATAGAACTTGCCCAATAATATGAGAATAAGTCCATGAATCTAATTTTGAGGACACTGGGCTAACCCATAGTATACGTTTTAAGTGAAACAGAAAGACTAGACGCTGAGGACTATGAGGACAAACCATTGTAGTACCTCACTCCTAGTAAAGTGCTTGACACATAATTAGGCACTCAATAAATACTTGTTGCATCAGAAAATTTAAAAATACAGACTCTGGATTTGGAAGATCAGAGTTCAAGTCCTAGACTTCCCACTAATTATGTGAGCAACTTTGGCCAAGTCAATTACTCTTATCCTCAGTTTCCTCATGGAAATGTTGTTACATACTTAACAGGGTTGTTGGAAAGATTTTTTGAGAAAAGTAAGATATAGC